GAGAGAAAGAGAGAGAGAGAGAGAGAGAGAGAGAGAGAGAGAGAGAGAGAGAAAGAGAGAGAGAAGAGAGAGAGAGAAGAGAGAGAGAGAGAGGAGAGAGAGGAGAGAGAGAGAGAGAGAGAGAGAGAGAGAGAGAGAGGGAGAGAGAGAGAGAGAGAGAGAGAGAGAGAGAGAGGAGAGAGAGAGAGAGAGAGGAGAGAGAGAGAGAGAGAGAGAGAGAGAGAGGAGAAGGAGAGAGAGAGAGGAGAAGAGAGAGAGGAGAGAGAGAGATCAAAGGGAAGCTTCCTGAGGAGAAGTTCCGTGAGGTAGATGATGGTGCCTAGAGATACAGATAATACGGGCACTTTTTGAATTGGTTTGGAGTGGTTTGCATGAGTGGCTTTGTGTTCAGAGCACTTGATGCACATCTGATTTCTAGGCTGTGCAGCAATGCAGCAAATATCGGTAAAGGTCTTGCATGCTTTTCACACAGCAGTTGTTGTTTTTCATCAAACTAAAAGCAAACGCGAACCATTGCTTCTGCAACGGTTCGTGTGTTACGAATATTTATGCCTGTGCGGGGAAATATTCGAAGGGGTACCGCGAATCAAGTGCTCTCTGTCGTTCCAAGCTCTTACACATCTGCATATGCTTGTCCGTAAATGTCGTCAGTCAAAAAGTATGGAGCAAAACTAAGAATAGGTAGATTGGGAAGATACCATGCTGTTTTACGTCGTGCAAGACATTCCGAGCGCGCCACAAGCGCTACCAAGCTTTTTTTGTTGAGTTTGAAATGTTTAGCTACCCCTCCCCCTCCCATTGCGCAGTCCTACATACGCCCGTGCACCTGCAATCGCCACCTGTTTTCCCCATGAGGCAGGATACACCAGCACTGATAGCGATTGCCGCCTATCTAATCATGGCGTCGGCTGTCAACAAAATAATGGTCGACTGACACTCAGCCTTCGAATAGAGTCCGCGTCGATAGCGTAAGCCCAGTCGCAAAGCGCAGATCGGATGTTTATGAAGGCGGGACATCGGTGATCGTGGCCACCCGTCGCTGATTTGCATAATGAGTCATGTCATTCCCAGTAGTAGGCCTGTATCGGTGAATTTCGGGTCTGTCCCATAATCATCCAGCACAAACACATAAATCGAATATAACGATTTAGTCTAGATGGACGGACCTAAATCACTAGGTGGCTGGAACGTATCGAATTGGAATGTAACTTTATCTTCAGGCCACTACAAAAACAGCTTCAGGAAAGCGTGCTTGGTGGAACGTTCCGTTGCGCGCGCCCGCCTCCCGACTGATGATAGCGCTGCTATGCGATAGAGTGGCCAGATTGCCCGCCGCTCAGACGCTGCTGCTCCATGCAAGGGTAGATATATATATATATATATATATATATATATATATATATATATATATATATATTGCGACAACTTGCACCGCGCATGACATTTCCGCTCCTTTTTCAGGCCGGACGCCAGTAGAGCAGTGTTGAAAATTGGTGACGCTGGGTGACTTCTCAATACAATATTCGTGGTTGCCTACACTCTAACCACCCACCCTGTCCTCCAGGTGTAACACCCATTCATCTGTCCTGCTCATCAGGTGTAACAGCCGATGACCTGTCCTCTTCACCAGGTTTAACAGCTGTCCGACGACCTGTCTGCTTTCGCAGCGTCCATCATTAGCAAGAAGGCGGCAGAGGGGCTGAGGGCGCTGGTGTTGGACGTTAAGTACGGCTCCGGGGCATTTATGAAGGAGTTCGACGAGGCGCGTGACACAGCGCAGCTACTGGTGAGAGGGAAGCCCGGCGTCGATATCTCTTCTCCCCCCCCCCCCCCTCCCCCGGCGGCGCCGTCCCCCGCCAGCCGGCGCCGCGCTCTCTGCCGTCCTCGAGCCTCGTCAGCGCCGCCGCGGTCCCCAGCACCCGGGCACTGTGTGCGAACGACTGCTGACAAACTCACAGGCAGGCGTGTCACCTGGTATATTGTGGGGGATGCCGGACAACTGAGCGTTTCAGGTTTCATCATTAGGCCCGTGTAGCGTGACGTCACCGTTCTTTTTCACTTATATCCTCGGAAAACGACACCTCCTGTCTAAGAGATGTGGCCATCAGAAACACGCTTTGATGGCCTGTGCTTTTCTGAAGTATGCAAGGAATTTTAATTCCGAAAAGCTGCTTTTCTAATCCGGCGAAAACAACACAATGGAAGTATTTCGATGTTTATGCCATTTACTACGCAATGCTAACGCACTTATACACGTAATGTTAGTACGTTAACGAGCTTTTCCCGTTCGGACTCAAGCGAAAACGAATATTGTGAAAAAGTTTGCTGGGTACCGGCCGGAGGGCCTGGGAAAAGCGGAAAAAATTACAACAGCCCTCTCTACACTGGCATTTTCATAGAGGAATTTACTTATGCGCAGTTTTTAAATACACGACGGCTTGGGTAAATAGTGGCAAAACAGGTTGTTTTCAGCTCTCAAGTTAGCCGGCTGTTTTTACCCGGAATCAACGTTTCGTTGTCACTTACTTATTCGCCATTCCACCTTTGCGGTGCATTATGGGTTGGGCAGACTCAACTGACCGAATCTGTAAAAAAAATGCGCTTGTGAAAAAGGATGGGTAAGGTTCATGGGTTCGACTCTCCAATGAATATACGAAGCCCTACCCTTGGCCCCTGCTTCGGTGAGACCCCGTGTTCCGGTGAGACTCTGGCTCCGGTGAGGCTCATGCTCCGGTGGGGCCCCGGCTTCACTGAGCACCCGATTTCGGTGAGACTCGAGCCCCGGTGAAGCCCTGCTCCGTCGAGGCCCCTTCTCCGGTGAGGCCCTGCTCTGGCCCGGTGAGGCCCAGCTCCAGTGGGGCGCTGCTCCGGTGAGGCTCCGGCCCGGTGAGGCCCAGCTCCATGAGGCCCCGGCCCCGGCGAGGCCCGGCTCCCGAGCACGGCAGCCCGCTGACCAAGCCCTGCCGAGCCCCGTCGGCTGACAACGCTCGCTGCTGTCCATGTCTCCCAAAACAAGCTACGCTGCCGTCGGCACCCAACCCGCGTATCTCACACCATTATCCGGTTGTATTCAAGGTCATACGCCTTGACATGACGGTGAAATTTTGACAAATTATGTACAGCTGTGCAGGAACCGCGGGCCCTGGGAACCGGTCTCACAATCTTCTCAGTGAAGTATCTCTTACGGTATTCGAGTTCATGCCCCTCAACGGTTTACCTGTCGAGTGCATGTATGATATAAAGGCTTGCAGATAGATATGATATAAAACAAAACTCATGAATGAACTTCTCTGAAACCCAAAAATGTATTTGGGTTATAGCTTATGGAGATATCAAAACTGGGAGCAGCCAAGCTCAATTAAGATGCATTGCCTGACTATACTCACAGCCAAACTGAATGCCCACAGTCAGACTAAACACCAAAAATATTAATGTACAACCGAGGCTTTTTTACTGCTGCGTATAGCCTGACAAGAAGAACAGATACCCTATCTGTATCGCGTTCCGCTTCACTCACAAGGTACAGCCATCTGTCTGCTGTCTACCTTCAATGACAAAACTACAATGTACACATGTGTAAGAACAGGAATGCTGGAAAGCCTTGGCCCTTTGTAAAACGTTGAATCATAAATTTTGAAAAGCCATATGACGGTACATCAAAAATAGACTCTAAAATTGGCTTGGGCCCCACACTTTCTGAAACGTTTCTACGCCAATGACGCCTGTCATTGGCGTAGGAACGTCTCAGAAAGCGTTGGCCTTCAACGCAGCTGTGATAGCGTACGTTAGCGGCGTCCTTTATTCCTGACTCCCACGTGCCGTATGTCGCCAGGTAAACACTTCCAAAGGAATGGGGATCAGCACCGCCGCCCTGGTCACCAACATGGACTCGCCCATCGGGCGGGCGGTCGGTAACGCGCTGGAGGTGGCCGAGTCCATCGCCTGTCTGCGAGGGGAGGGCGCCCCGGACCTGGTGGAGCTGGTGACCGAGCTGGGAGGCCGGCTGGCCGCGCTCGCCGGCCAAACCTCCCCCGAGGAGGGTTGCCGCCAGATGGCCACCGCCCTCCACGACGGCTCGGCGCTGGACAAGTTTCAGCAGATGCTGGAGAGCCAGGGTGTTAGCCAGCAGAGCGCGCGGCAGCTCTGTCGCGGCGACCCGTGGAGTGTGCTGACCAAGGCGGACCACGTCGAGTCCGTGCCGGCCACCGCTACTGGTACGTGCTCCAGCCACCGAGCGAGCCCCAGCCGAGCCAGCAGCGCCAGGCAGTGTTTAGTGACCGGTCTGCGCATTACCAACCGACTCCACGTACATCTTCATGCACGCTAACTCTGTCATTGACACCATGTTGCCCTGCACCACCACCAGTCTCTCACCCACGATGTTCCACCCGATTTTACGCCACGCGCCGAGTGGTCGATTGTCCCTGATGCGCCACGTCAGCCCTCAAGCGCCGCTTCACCTGCGCAGGATATGTCAGCAATATCGACGCCATGACGGTGGCTCAGGTGTGCCTGTCGCTGGGCGCCGGCCGCAGGAAGGCCGCTGACACCGTCGATCATCGTGTGGGCGTCACGCTCGCCGTCCGTCCCGGCGAACGCGTGCAAGCCGGCCAGGCCTGGGCCCAGGTGAGCCTTCACCTAGCCGCTGCCAGGGGCCGGTAGGTAGAGCTGTAGGGGCCGACTGGGACACGCAGGCGTGAGGGAAGTCATCAAGTTGGGAGGGAAGGAGGGAAGAGGGACGATAACCGTGTTTGGTTAGCTCTTCCCGTCGACGCCAAATATGCTAATGTTCAAAAGTTCAGGGGGTCAGCCCCTCCCGCCCCCCCCCCTTCCCCCAGTCCGCTCCCGGCGTCCTCTGGCCGGCCGGCGTATATTGTTCTCCGCATCCCGAGCGGTGCTGCACTCGCAGCCGCGCTGAAACGCAGCCGCGTGCGGCGGCCCTGCCAGCGCAGGCGGACGTGCTGCCGCAAGCAGGCGGGCGTCGCGGGTGGCTGCATATCTAGGGTTTTAACGTGCTGCCCGCGTGCAGGCGGGCGTCGGGTGGCTGCATATCTAGGGTTGTAAACGTGCTGCCGCGAGCAGGCGGGCGTCGGGTGGCTGCATATCTAGGGTTTTAAACGTGCTGCCGCGAGCAGGCGGGCGTCGGGTGGCTGCATATCTAGGGTTTTAAACGTGCTGCCGCGTGCAGGCGGGCGTTGGGTGGCTGAATGTCACGTTTTTAACATGCGGCTGCCTGCTGAGTTATCGAACCAATGTCATGTCAGGCAGCAAGGGGATGGTATTTGTTCATCAGTCGACGCCAGTGTTCTGTTTTATTTGACTCGTTTTGTTTTGTGTCTTGTCCACCTGCTTTGTTATGGGTCTGCCAAATATGGCGTTGGTATTCACCGTGGATAAACAAAACGCGACCTTGGTTGGGCTCATGTTATTTATGACATGCTGCCTGGAAGCCTGACATTATTGAAGCCAAGGATTAGCGGCCCAAGGGATGCATTTTCAACTTAATTATTCGAAATCCCAGGGTAACTTATTTCGGAGAGCTTGTGGGACCTCATGGCGTGCTTTACTTGGCGGCATTTTGACACGAATGCGGTGGGCGGGTGGAACAAGGAAGCGGAACAACACATGCCTGTATTTGTAGCTTTAGAAATATGATAGTTGCATGCAGATAAACAAACGCCCGACATGTCAGCGCTCTGGGATATGTGCCGACCTGCAACGCTCTCCGCGTCAGCTCAACGGCATTACCCCGGGGTCGGGCTGCCCCAAAGAACAAGGTCTTTAAAAGTATCTAAAGATATATCCATGTGCAAGGCGTTTTTGTTATGGTGGTACATTACAATTACAAAATCCCCACAGAGGTCAGGAAAATGCCGCGTATAATGAATGCCGCAACCGAATTTTGCAAGCTGAGCAGAGAACATCACGAGTCGGGGCTAGGTAGTCCCCGACCTAGGGCTTCTTTTCTTACATATAACTTCCAACTTATTGTTTCCTTTCTCCAATACTTCGATCGATGCAAATAATTTCCTGTTGCACTGTTTCGTTCATCGCTATATCTAGTGCAAGCCTTTAGTTTTGTTACTATCACGTGGCGATGACACGCATTTATGCAAATATCTGCGAATAGAGCTGTGTCATTGTTTCATATATCCGCCCAGTATAACTAGGCCTGGATGAAACGCTTCGCTTCAGTGAGCCACTTCATGTGCGGCTCGAAAAGGATTTCACATTTGTCATAAACCAGAGGACCTAAGTTTCAGAAACAGACCAGACCAATGTGGCAGAAATCTAATGGTTCATGCAACAGCATTTTTGTGAAAATGGCTTCACGCGCGCGAAATAACATTCCAAAATGCGTGGCGGAATGCGTGGTCACCGAGTGCGTTTTTCAGAACCAGTAAACGCATTGCTGTACACTTCTGTGGTGCGAGCACAAACAGCTCAGGTGTAGGACCCGAATGAGTGAAAGCAGTTCTGTGTGTGGGGGGGGGGGGGAGGGTTCTGCGATGGGCGACGTGCACTGCCGCCTGGCAGCCGCTGGCTGTTGTGCGCCGCCGGCTGCCGCTGTCACGCCTCCACACAAGAGCAAATTTGTACTGAGGAGCCCATTGGTCAGCATACGAGCCAGATGTTGTTAGCACACGACTCGGCACGTTGTGACTCCGGTACACGCGACATCAACAAACATGTGAGCCACAGAACTAGGGTGCAGCGGATAACCGTGACGTAGGCGGGGTGATGGGTCCGGTCAGGCACCATGGACGGCTGTCTCCCAGTAGACGGTACTCCACCTCCACCGCTTTAGCTTATGATTATATGTAAACGGGGCGAAAACGGAACCTAATGCACTGATCATACGCCCAACTGGCAAGCGTCCCACGCGCTGGGAAATTATATTGGCAAGGGCTCGATGGATAATAACCCTGGGAGCCCCCCCCCCCCCCCAACCTTAACTAATTCACGCAGACTCCATGCACTCGGCGCCCCACCACACTTACTCCAAGCACACACATACGCTGGCGCCCACGTCACCCCACTCATCTTTGGCTCGCACGCGGATGCCCCCCCCCCCCCCCCCCCGTTCCCAGTGTCTTGACATTATAATTGGCTCGTCTGCGTGGGTCCTCGTTGAATTAAGCCAAATTTTGTCATCACATTGCAAGCCTTTAACAAAGCCACGTTTAAGCCCTGTTTAAAATATATCGTGTCGAATTGGCAGCGCGGCACCGACGCAGTTGCTGGGCCGACATCGAGTGTCCGAAGTTGGACGGCGACTCGTTCCCTCGCCTCACCTCCAGGGTGACGGCTCCACGTTTACATGACGCTCCCGCGTTCCATCCACGGAGGGCGGCCCACCATTCACTCGGCCACGTCCACCGCTCGCAGCTTTCCGCTGCCGCACATTCGCCTTAGGCAGCGCCCTGTCCAACACGGAGGCGCCGCCTCTGGTACTTCTGCGCCCTCGCCTCCCGCCTGCCAGAGTGAGCGTTGCAAGGCACCGCCCCATGGGGCGCCCCTCAGAGGCCTGGAGGTAGGCAGCGCGCCCGATGGGACGGTGGAACCCGTCGGCAGACAGCGAGCGCCCGGCGTGACCCGCGTTTACGCCTTACGGTCTCCTCAGCCGGCGCGCTCTGGAGACTCGGCCTGATCGGCCTGTCCGGCGGCCTGGTTCCTCGTCGCCCTTCCTATGAGCATTAATGACGGGATCTCTAGTTGTCTCGAACATACCGCCATCAAACGCTCATGAGGCCTGGCGCACATCACGTCGGAAGAAACAGGCTGTATCCTGTTCTCTCCCAAGGCGGGGACACCACGGATAGATCCCACTACCACCGTGCACGATCCGGCGGCAGAAGATTTTGCACAAGCAAAATGTTCTGCTTAAACAAAGCAATTAACTTTTAACTCCCCCCCCCCCGAAAAAATAACAACAGGCAAACAGAAAAACAAATACACGCGCACGAATACCATAAAAATCAGTTGATAAATTGGGTCGAGCCAGCGATAAAATAAAGGCAGCACGCGCATGATGAAATCTTTGCGGGTATGCTGGACGGGATTCGGCAAGAGTAACGCCATCCCGAACAATCGGAAAATGAATTAAGAGAACGAGAAAGGTCAAATCTTCCAGCTAGCCAAGAGACCTACGCCACAGCGAAGGGGAAACCTTAATGGGTACGACGGCGTGGCCCGTACGGCGCGTCTGACCGCGACAGAGGAAAGAAGAGGACCGTGACGAGTCGCTGCGCCTCCCCGGGGCCGCTTCCAACAAATCAAGATAGCCTTAGCGCGGGCTTACGAGCGACCCGTCGCGCCGAAGCACGTGTTAACGGCCTCGGTCGCCATGCCCACCCACGCCGGGCGCGAATGTCGCCGCCTGACCCGATCACTCCAGCCTCGCTTCCACACTAAACAATTTAAAATGCAGACCAGCAACTGTATTTACAAATCACCGAGACATACACGACCCACGGACACGTCACCCCCTCCCCCCTTCCTTAATAATGGGAGTGGGACCGAGACACATTGCCGTCCGGGAGTGCCGCATGGCCAGTTGCCCCCCCCCCTCCCCTCCCCTCCTTAACTACACGGAAGGGAACAGGTAGCCGTGGCCCGCGCCCGCCCGGTAGGGAGGGGTCAGGGAACATGGGAGCGCTAGCCATCCAGGGCCCGGTAAGGATCGCGACAACAACCTGTGAGCTCAAACATGCATGTTGTCGCCGTTGTCCCGTTGTCCGCAGGGCCAGATGTCGTCGCCTGGTTGTCACCACCACGTCCCCTGCGCGTTCCTCGCTCCTCGGAGCACCTCGGAAGACTCCATCCTCAAGCGCCTTCCCTGGACTCTTCCCCTTCTCTTCTCTCGAGAGACTCCAGTCTTCCCCGGGCTCTCCACATTGACTCTTGACCTTCACTTCTGTCCAGAGACTCCCAGTCTTTTCTGGTGGACCCTTCCAACTCAGTTCGGCCCCTCGTTTTTTTGCGTGGTCCAACAGATTTGCCGCCTAGCCCCCTCCGTCCAATTTGTCGCCGGGCCGGACTGCGTTGCTTTCAGAGTCCGGCCCCTAACGAGCCCTTGGGTCAGATCTCGGGTGTGGCGTCGCTGGCGACGACGCAAGACCCGCCCGCTCTCGCCTCGGGCGGTCCCTGCGCGCGCCCCCTCTGGCCCAGTTCCCACGTGGTGTGGCGCTTCTGATGCCAGCTGGGGCGACGGCGGCGCCGGCACGGCGGGGTCCCTGGGGCGAAGCGGCAAACTCCTCACATGTGATTTGCACATTCCTGTGCACTTGTCGCGTAGCCGGTTTCTTGGCTCTCACCTCCATGTACCTTGGCGTGATGGACCACTTTGACAGAGGGGGCCACCATCATGGCCGTTCCGGGGAACACCTAGCGTCCCTTTGTTGATGCGGGCCGATAGCGGAGCGTCTGGCGGGGCCGCGTCCAGCTCTCAGGCCCCGCCCGGCCTAATGGTCGTGTTTGGTTAAGCGGGGAATTACTGGCCATGGCCGACTTGTTCGCCGCCCCACGCTCCGCTGGGGAGCCCTCATCGATCCCGGGAGGGTGGCGCACAAAATGGAAAGTAAGAAAATGTATGCCGACATTAATAAGTTCCCTTTAATTTCACGCCCCTGTGAAAAGTCAGAGACCTCTCATTGACTTGGGCCCCTTGCCTGCTCCCCCTACACGCAGTAAACCGCCCGATGCACACCACGGATGATCGCAAACTCTCCCCCAACACACCGCGGACAGTCGTAAGCCCTCACTATACACACGTACGCGGCACTACCATGGTACCTCGACTCACATACCCAGCGGGTGATCGACACGTTACACAAATGCGAGGTGGAGCGTCGGCTCACACGCCGTTCATTTGCGCAGTCGCTCTCCATCTCATGCAAACACGGCACGTACACCGCTATACTATGGTATGACGCTATACACGTATGCGAGGTGGAGCGTCGGCTCACCCGTTGCGCTGGCGGATATATATATATATATATATATATATATATATATATATATATAAATATATGTGTGTATTGATAGATAGGTAAAGATATGTATATATGTATATACTCTATACTATATATAGTATAGAGTATATACATGCCCCATATATATATATATATATATATATATATATATATATATATATATATATATATATATATATATATATTGAGTTTCATTGTTAGGTTCGTAGAATGCGTAAATCGCTTTTGCATTGATGTTGTAATCAAGTTGGTGTTACTGCAGTATTGAACAAAAAGCTTGGTTATCGAAATCCTGTTTTTCTGCGACCAGTGTTGAAAGCTACTTATTTCTGGAGCTCATAATTTCCAGCATTGCGGATTTTATGATCAGTAGCGCAATTCCCAAAGAACTCCGGATTTATCTGAAGCTGAAGTAAATGCAAAGGACGATATTCTATCCCAGGAAGGACACCTGAGCATTCCTTTACATATGTTGACCTATTTCTACCCGCATGCTTCTACCTCTCGCTGGATATCCTATGTTTGGTCATGTCCATTAACTTGTTCACCCCCACCCCAAAAACAGAAAAGCTTGTTATCATGCCCGCAATTAGACCTAGGTAGAGAAAAACGCGGAGGCGACTAGGTAAACATTCCCATGGATAATAAGTTTTTCACGCATGATTTATTTGCTGTTTTTATAGCTTCATTCGTTGCTTCATTATATTGCTCGAAACCCGATTGTTTTTTAAGCGCATGATATTTGAAAGTTGTTGTTAAGATGGAGCGAAAACCCCGGATTCGTCTCACCTTTTTCAGCGCCTCATAAGCCCACAAAGGTTTTAAAAAAAATGCATTGAAATCGTATAGTTGGCTTGAAACGGTCCGTCGCAATTTCGTCCGTCAAAATATGTTCAATACGTCTAGAGATTTTAGCTAGATTAGAGATTTAGGAGATTAGATTTAGTTAGATTCAGTAGCTTCAGATTATAGATTTCAGTTAGATAGAGATTAGACGGTTAGATCTATCAGTTAGATAGGAATTCAGATTAGAGATTTCAGTTGAGTCGGTGAAACGCCAACCTTCCGCATAAACTTGCTATGTTCTCTCATGCGTTAAGCTCTGGAAGAAGGCATCTCCGTTATCTTAGGTGATATCAATTCGTTACGGATTAAATTTCAGACTCGGATATTACCTGATGCCAGGTGTCTGCGGCTTTATAACGCATTCAGCTGCTGAGACTGCGTGGCCAACTGAATTCAGACACGTATCCATGCATATTTGCATTAAAATGGTTTTCAGCAATGTACATGTAATGCACTTTTTATGTGAAAGCTGGATGAGCCACCCTACAAAAATGCATGCCTTCAAAGCTTATTTCACTGTTCAGTTTTGCAAACGAAGCGACTCGATCACAGATTCAGTACTGTAATACCTGTTATTCAGTATTGTAACATCCGTGTTATCTGTTCCAGATCCACCACTGTGGAAACACTGACGGAACCGATCCGCCAGCCAGCTGTCAGGGGCGCTGACCGTGGTGCCCGACCCGGTCAAACCTGGCCCGCGGGTCACCGGGCTGGTGCAGTGAACGGCGTCTTCCAGCGCGCGGGTCACCGCGCTAGTCCGGGACCTTGGTCGCCGATCTGGCTCAGGAGCCGAGTTATGACCTGGCGTGGCGCTGGCGCTGGGTGTGTGCTATGAGGATGGGTGTGTACATCGGCTCAGCCCAGGCCCTGGCTGCGGAGATGGCCGGTCCCTCCGGGCGATGGTCGTCTGGCTGAGGGCAATATTTATGACCAGCCCAGCCGGTATGCTCGCTGGCTGGCCTCGCTCAGCTGATGGTCAGATCTCCACACAAACGGATGGGTAGGGGCTGGTAAACCAGGCGCCTTAGCAACTCTGAACATTTTTACACTGGTGCTGCGCTTTTTTGGGTTGTTTGTATTGTTTTTTTTGGGGGGGGGGGCGTTCTGGCACGAACATAGTGGAGGGCCAGAAACGAACATAAAACGTGGCAAAGGTGGGCACGTGGGCATAACCACCGTGGCACGTGCATATCGGTTATGGGGCATAGGAACGGGTTTGCCATGGATGACCTCGGTCAGGCCCGTCAACCTTAGCCGCACCCTTCTCTCGCAGCATCGCGCCCGCTGCGCAAGAATCGCTTATTGACCTTTCGGGGCTTCCTACGCCCGATAGGTCGAGCCGATCACCGATAGGTCACAACCCGTCAACTAAGTAAGCAGGTGGGCTGTGACCATGCAAAATAGCCCGGTTCCCAAAGGCGACATTTTCCGTCTGCACATTGTCTACGGGTTGTTTCATACCCGGGGTAAGTGCAATGTCATCCAATCAGAGAATTAAACCCTCCCCTCTGCCTAGGAGGAGCCGTCAGGATTTTCTTTAAGGGACGGGGAAAGGGGGAGCCTGGTCAGGCGCATGTACCGGTCAATTTTTAGATCACCGTTCTGGAAAAATCTATGATAAAAGCGAATAAAATATCCAGGCCTGAGGGAAGAGCTGCCCTCCCCCTCTTCCCCCCCCCCCCCCCGTACTCAGCTGTGTCCCCTGCCGCGTAGGATGTAGACTCGGTTGCGCACTGAGTAGCAAGAAAAAGAACAGCAACAGTGAACGACATGAGGGGTAGGACATCGACATACTGTGCACATCCGAATCAATGTGCAGGTCGTAGGGGAATACAAGCTTCCAGTGTGTACAAGCAAGCTGCCAACGCCATTAGCCAGGCTGCCTTCGTAACGCCGCAGGTGTGGCGGTCTTCCTAATGTCTTTCAAATAATCAGTGCCAGCTTGACGTTAACGATTTTTAAAAGCATTTTGAACATCTCCGAGTGAAGATTTCACGGTATTTTCAAAAACCTTTTGAACAGGGCTCTGAGATGAATAACGCAGCCCGATGACGGGGTTGGGAGGGAGGGGTTATGGGCTGGCAGCGGACAGCGACAACTGCAAAAATCAACTCAAATATTATGTTTTTTCTTGCTTTTCCTGTCACGAAATGAAACGCCATGCGGTAGCCAGCAGATTACCCCGAATTAATGGGAATCGTGCAAAATGACTGGAATGTAGAAGCGAAAATATATGTCGACCGCAGATCATCCGTCGCGTTTGTTGTGTCCTCCGTTATCCCACCCTGATGACCTCTCTGTCGTCCCCGCCGAGCACTTCCTGAGCGCGCTAACGACGCCAACTGACGGCCGCGGCTGGAGTCATCTGGCTTCTGGAATGCGGTGGGCGGACGCGCGAGTCATGCCTGGTATATGATCACTTAAATAAGTAGACCAGAGCCCGGAAAGATGCACCCGCCTTGATAAGGATCTTACCTTCACCCGACCCAGCACTGCTAATGCTTTTATTTCAAACTGTATGCAGAATCGATTAAGAAATTGCAGTCAGATTATATCCCTCGGGTCATGTCGCGCACCAGGACGCCGTTACCGTAGAGAATGTTGGGAACGCATCCCCTACAACTTTCAGAACAGGAGGACCCCTTCAACCTCAGTGAATCGGAAGTATCGGACGCAAGCCCACGCATCCCGGCGAAGCCCTTCCGATGCCTTCTCTCCCGAAGCTCCGGGAGACGGCATGGTGAACGATTTGGTACCCGGGTAGCCGATCTGCCCTGGTATATTCCCCACAGTGTTATCCATGCAGATTGGTTGCTTTACAATGCATAATCACGGACTACTTCGTACGTACTTTCGTCAAATGAACTATATCCTTTACGAGCACTTGCCTGCGTGCAATTATTTGGGAACAATCGCGTACGTTCATTACGCATGCGAACGTTTTCATATGAACTTTTCTTCCAAAACCTTGCGCGATTCCAGTGCGGTCGCGTCTATCGGCCGGAGGTCCTCTGGCCACAGCATGTGGTCGGGCACTCGGCAACCGACGGGGTCACGACCCTGGAATGAAGCAACTCGACTAACATAAGCACAAGCCATCGGATTGGCGCACATCCGGTCCAGTGGATTGCTGGCCACACGCTGTCGAGCGCAACGCAGTTTGGCTAAATCCCTCACATATCACATGGCGTGTCAATAACTGCTAGGGGCCTGATCGTCTGATTTAGTTCACAGTGGCCGGTAATGAGCGTCTCCCGGGACTCTCAAGCATTTATCGCAAGAACTGGAGTTCCCGAACGCCGCTGCCTACCTGAAGCTGAACAATGAAAGTTCAAAAAAGCGATCAATAGCCATGGTCGAATTCGCCAAGGAATGGACAGGTGGGCGGCAGCCACATGCCTAATGACGTCACATGTGGCGCTAAACATCACACACTCGGCACACAGTCCTGTTGACCTTTCCGAGTAGCGCTCTGTAAAACACGAATGCTGTGTAGTACACACACCAACGAATACTGAGAACAGCAATACTGTATAGGCTTACCTTCAGAATCAAATGTATATATCATAACGTCTTTGCTTTATACAACCAACACTATATATATATATATATATATATATATATATATATATATATATATATA